AAGCTGGAAAGCAGAAACTTACCTGTTTCTGATTTCTAGCACTAGTAGTTTTGAAAACTTCTTATGGCTTGGTTCTAAGGAAAATGTGCCTTAGCTGAAATATGTTTTTATTTTAGCAAGTTGTGTAACTAGTCATCGACCTATATTTTATGAATTCCTGTAAGCTAACATGGAATTTTCACACATTATTATGGTGGTTTTATGTATTCATATATGGAATTCTGGGTTTCTGAAATTTTTTCCCTGACATTTTGAGATCTGCTGGAAGATTCATAGATTGATTATAATAAACAAACTCCCTTGATAATGGAGTCATCTTTAGAAAATCATTGTTAGAACTTGGGATGGTGCTGACTACAAATGTACCTGTAGCTAAGTAGCAAAGGGGCAGGTTAATGGGTAGCCACTGAAGGCAGATTTCCCTGACCTCTTAAAAGTACCACCCAGAACTAGTATACAAAGTGATTCATTCACTCAAACATCTTCCCCTCCCTTTGATAGAACCCCCAGCTGCTGTGGGGCCTAGATGTCTTCATGATTATTATTGCATCTGGTGTCATGTTTTTCCAGCTGGTGCACTGTCTCCCTGTGGGAGATTTATTGATGTTCACCCCTCTACCAGCCTCCTGCTTGCTCTCTGGAGGCTCATCCTATGACCCTACTCTACATAGGCAACCTCTTCTAACCTGAACCGTCATTAAATAGATGGGCTTAAAAGCTGCTTATAGATCATATGGCTCATCATAAAAAAAAATTGCTAGAACTGACTATAATTAAAATTTCAGTACTGTGAATTTCAACTCTGCCCCATCCTCAACCACACATAAGCAAATCAGAATATTACTTTTGATCCAGGAGCTTTGGACTTTTCCCTCCTTCCCTTCCCTTCCTTCCTCTTTTTCTAGAAATAAGAAATGAATTGGGGCCCCTGGGTAGCTCAGTCAGTAAAGTGTCCAACTCTTGATCTCAGCTCAGGTCTTGATCTCAGAGTCATGAGTTCAAGCCCCGTGTTAGACTCCATGCTGGGTGTGGAGCCTACTTAAAAAAAGAAAAAGAAAAGAAGTAAGAAATGGATCACAGTCTCCTAATATTTAAATCCCTTCAAAACAGAAGTGAAAAATTATCTAACGCTTCAAACACACCATTATTTTGCACAGAAGCTTAAAACAAGCTGGATCAAGGATACATTTTGAGGACTATATTCAGAGGGTCAGACAATGTTCTTAAAGAGTGTATTTTAAAAAGGTTCCCTTTTAGCAGAATTAGTTGGCCTCCAAATGACCATCTTCACATTCGTGCCTTGCAGTCTGGCTATTAGTGGTTCTACTCAGGGCTCCATTTTGAGGTGTGTTTCCTGCCTTGATTTCTCTTAGGGGGATCTCCTGATACTAGCTTTGGTTGTCTTCCCATGATTTTGTCTCATTTTACTGACCCTGAATACTACTTTCCATACCTCTTTTTTAGCTCTGATTATATTGACTCAAATTGAAAAACTGAAAAGAAAAAAGATGGTTTTAAAAGAAAGAAAAAATACAAAGGGGGGTTGTTAAAAAATTAGGAAAAAAAAATAAGAGCATGAAGAATCTACCATATATCTTTGTTTGAAAAGAGTCATTTGTCAACATTTTGTTTTATTTTATTTTTAAAGATTTTATTTATTTATTTATTTATTTGAGAGAGAGAGAGAGCACAAGCAGGGTGAGGGGCAGAGGTGAAAGGGACAAGCAGACTCCCCACTGAGCAGGAAGCCTGACATGAGGCTCAATCCCAGGATCCCAAGATCAAGACCTGAGCCAAAGGCAGACCCTTAACTTACTGAGCCACCCAGGTGCCCCAGATATTGCTCTTTAAAAGCAGATTTTGGGGTACAGTGGAAACACTGCATGGATAGTTAGTAGGTCATTCTAAACATCTGATTCAAAGTAGCTCTCATACCTCTTCAGGCTTCAAGGAGATGTGATTGCTGGTGGTGGGAGGTAGTGCCATGGTTCAGTAAGACTAGAGAGAAAACTTCTTTAACTGTAAAAGGATAAGGATGGCATGACCATTAGAGGTATGTGTACTCCTAATAAACTCACAGTAGCTTTCTTGCAAAACAACCTAAGGCAGTGGGGAGTAAAGATGGCTCCCCCATTCAGGAAAGATAATAATGGGAAATGGTTGAGTAGAGAGAGCTGAGGGACACCTATAGAGGATTAAACAGGCAAATTATTTCCACCGTAAGTTCTCCTAAGTATGGAGTAGGGATTCCTAAAAACGTATATAGTCCTGAAGCAGCCAAAAGTAGATTTAGCCAGAGTTGAGTTACAGGCGCCTGGAAACCACTGACTTTTTGCCACAATAGCCTCAAACTTGGCTCTCTTTGGGACTCTGGAGGAGTCTTAGCACACTCAAAGACTTCATTTCTTTATCCCCAAATATGTTTGAGCAATGAAAAAAAACAATTCCCATCATACCTGAATTAGGACAGACAGACTTACCTTTGAGAGTATCTCTTCTCCTGAGTGCTTGATCACTGTTGTCCACACACACAATGTGTACTATTAAACTGAGGATCGTGGTTACCTTTGGCAGATAGGGAGGGTTAAGGGATTGGGAGAGGGCATAAGGGGGACTTCCAGGGTGCTGGCAATGTTTCTCAGTCTAGTTGGAAGCTACATGGGTGTTTGATCTGTGATAATATATGATTTGGTTCACTTTTCTCTGTGTTATATTTTATAATAAAAATGTATAAAAATGCAAGAATTTCTTAATTCAGGGAATTCCTTAAAACAGGTTATTCTGTTGATATATGCAAAATTTATAAATTTTGGACAATTATAAAATTTGGACAACAGTGAAGAAATCAGTTAACTATCGTCTGCAATAGTCTAACTACTAGTTAACTATTGTCTGCAATAGTCTTACTGAGTGCACTCAGGAGAAGAGATACTCTCAAAGGTAAGCTCTCTGAGAGTCAAGTAAAAATTAATAGACCAGCTGCTCTGTAGATAAGTAATGCAAATCAGTGCAGTAAATTTGGTACATGTTTCAGGTATTAATTTATCCTATTTAGACTTTTCTTGTGCCACATATCAGAAGAGATATCATAAATGCAAATAAAAGCCATTCCATTTAAAATTCCTTTTGTTCTTGGGCTCCCCCCCACACATATATCCTAACTCCTAATTAGCCTGATTATACCATGTAGATGAGGCACTGACTTACATACTTTTGCATCTCATAGCACATAGTAATGAATTAGGTACATATGTTTTTACTGCCTGTATTTCATTACTGTATATATATTTGAAAAAATATCACTAATTTTTCCACTGGTATGTAATTTTGGTTTATATCAAGCTTTTCATCACCCAGGAGAAAAGGCTTTTTGTTATTCTGTTGATATGTGCAAAATTTATAAATTTTGCCTCCTGAGAGTTGGTGAGAAGTATATCCATACCTCAGTTTGGACAATAGTGAAGGAATCAGTTAACTATTGCCTAGTGTTAGACTAAGCTCTCTGAGAGTCACGCAAAAATTAATAGACCAGTCTCATTCCAAAACAATTCTGAGGAAGCTGTTGCTTATAATAGCATTTTGGCAAGAAAAATACCAATTTTACATGATTGCAAGCAAATTTTAATGCTGTTCTAGTGGCATGTAGAAAGGGTGTGAGAAGTTTGAGGGTTAGAGTGGCTGAACTCTCAAGCTTGAGAAGTCTTTGTCTTTAGAGCACTCAGCAATTGACTCCTCCTGGACCTTTTCTTCACTCCTCCATCCGAAAGAGGGAACGGAGAAAAGGAGCAGCTAAACAGGAGTTGGGCTCAGTGATTCTAGAGCTAGACTAGATATTTAATGCTGAACTATCTCTTAAGATCTGGAGATCTGGCATTTAAATCAAGTCTCATTGTTGCCTGAATTTTCTCAGAACTATTAAGGAGTTCTTTTATATTAGTCAAATAGCTCCTGGAATGTCTTAACTCTTTCATAGAGCCTGTGTTAGACAGAGGTGGTTATTTGGAAAGAAGGTGACTTCTTTGGGCTTGGAATGCCTATGGCAACCCTTTCTCTTACCATTCCCAAGACTTATCTTTGAATTGCACATTATGGAAAAAGGAACTTTACTTCTGATGGTTAGGTCTGCAAGGTGCTTTATAAAAGCCTATCTAATCCACTGGCTAACGGTTGTGGAGCAGGGCTCTATGAGATACCCTACTTTCACCAAGTGCTATTATCCAGAAAGTCAATTTGTAGAAAAGCGAGAAGTCCCAAGAACAGCTGTTGGGTAATTCTATCTGTAGCAATAAAAACTCTGCCTCCATTAAAGTAAGGAAGGACATAGCATTCAGTAATGAATGGAAAGAAAATCTCGGTTGCAACTCAGCTTTACGTCCTCAGGTGAGTTAGTGTCTCTGAGCCTCAGTTTTTTTAATCTGTAAAATGGAGATTACTTGAGATCTAGCATTAAGCACAGTGCCAGTCACGAAGTAGGCGATTTGAAAATGACAGCTATTTGCTCTAATGGTTACAGGCAACGAGTCAGTGTTGAGCTACTTTAGTGACGCGGAGGGGACACGGGGAGTAGTAGGAGCTCATTCAGAAGAATGGCGCTGCTCAAGTTGTCAGGTCCAGAGCACCCTGGTCCTAGGCGTCTGCCCTGGAAAGCTACTCCGGAGGCCCAGGAGACACCCGAGGTCACCACCCAGGGTACTAGGCCATCTTGGAACGTTTGTGGTTTGGATTCTGGTCCAGCTCTGCCCAGCCCGTCTGGGCCAATCAGGGGACAGCTCAAACTCACCTGCTCGGCAGGTGCTAGCCGTCCGAGGCGTGACCGCGGAGGGCCGGCGGGCGCGGTGGGCGGGAGCTGAGATGGTGAAGCTCCCGGCGCATGGCCCCCGCCGCCCAGTCGCCGCGGTGGCTGCCGGGATGCGCCGCAGCGAATGGTCGCGCCGGGCGCCGCTCTGAGTGACCTTTCACCTGCGCCCAGCGGTCTTGGGCGGCAGCACAAGGCGGAAGCCATGGCGGAGGCGGCGGCTGCAGCCGGTGGGACGGGCGCGGGCGTGGGCTCCGGCTCTGCCGCGGACCGGGACCGGGACCGCGCCGGGCGGAGGCTCCGGGTTCTCTCGGGCCATCTCCTGGGCCGGCCCCAGGAGGCTGTGAGTACCAATGAGTGCAAAGCGCCGAGAGCCGCGTCGGCGGCCACGGCGGCGCCCAGTGCCGCTCCCGCCGCGCAGGAGTCAGGCACCATCCCCAAGAAGCGGTGAGTAGCGGCTCTGTGGAGCTGGCTGGCGGCGAGACCAGGCCAGGCCTGTGCTGCGGGAGGGCTTGGCAAGGTGGGAAGGGAGGTGACACCGGTGGGAGGAAGGCATCCTGTCCCTGAAAGTGAAGACGCGTCTCTCGAGAGAGTGGACGAGACCCTGGACTCTGGCAGGAAGGGGGCGGGATGGAATGGTGGATTTTGGTCACTATTTGAGAGTAACAAATCTGAAGAACTCTTACTGGGGAAGGCTTCAGGGGGACCCGTTTTCTTGGATTCTTAATGCCAGAATTCATTATCCTGAATTAATACTTGCGGATAAGGTCTTCGAATGGATAGAGAGGTTTCTAACATGATCCTCCAAGAAAATTTAAGTTTGCACTAGATGATGGCTCTCTTCTAATTCGCGCAAGCCAGGGTGTGGGGAGATGTGATGGTTATTGGAGGAAGGTGCTGGCTGGTTTCTGTGGGGCAGGTTTCCATTTGCTTAGGGGCATGGTCTTTGACTTGGAGGGAGGAAAGTGAGGGATGGGTAAGAAGCAAAAAACTTAAGACACTAGTTAATGATTTAGGTTGTGGTGGTTACTGAACTCTGGTGTTACCTAGAAGCTGAAAGACCCTTGCCTGTGGATGAGGATTTTTTTTAAGAGATCTTGACTTGACTACTTTTTGGAGAAATCTTAAACGCTGATGGAAGCTACCAGAGAAGATATTTTCTGAGATGTGGCTTTGTCATGTCGATGAACTTTGAGAGTGAGAAAAAGTGTTGCTAATGTTTAATGGTACTGCCAGTGTGCCAGAGACTGTTAAGTCTCTTATTTCTTTTACTCCTCTTCAGACTCTGAGGTAGGTACAGTTATCTACAGATGAAGAAATAAAACAGATTTACGAAGCCTGCTTCAGATGTGGCAAGTTAGAATTCCAAAGTACGTCATATTAACTTTAGGGCCAAGTTCTTAATTTGTACTACTTGAGATGAATTCTTTCAGTAATTCCACATTCATGAGTCCTTCCTCTGCTAGTTATATACTCTACCAGGAATACAGAGATTTAAAAATGCAGTATTTACTTAAGAACTAATAGCCTAGTAAGGTAAAGTCATAATACAGTGTGATAAGAAATTTAGCTGATAACCATAGCAAATGGTCACTTACCCCAGTTTTAGGTCTGTATGTCAGGGGGGAGGCTTCCGAGAATAAGGATTGAGTAAATCTTGAAGTTTGGGTTGGAAGTAACCTGCCAAAGGAGATAAGTGTTCTTGGCAGAAAAACAGTGTGTTCACAGGTAAAGCAGTGAGAGTCAGATTAGGAAACTGTTGGAAGTTCAATGTGATAGGAGGGGGTGAGAATAACAGGATGAGGGCTGGAGGCAAGTCTTGTTTGCAGGATTTTATGTGGGGCAAAACGTGATTACATTTACCTTTTAGAAAGGTCACATTGGGGACCAAATTGAAGAAGGTTAAGCAGATGGTTAAGGGCTGGGAACCAAGACCTGAGTCTGAATTTCCACTACACAATTCTAGTTGTATGACCTTGGGCAAGTCACTTAACCTTTTTCAGAGCTTCAGTCCCTTGTCTGTGAAAATGAGGACAGTAATTCCTGCTTTGCAGTGTTGCTGTGAGAATTCAACAATACAGAGTTCAGTGATCAAGTGCTTAGTGCATTGCCGGTTATATAACCCTTCAAATGAAATGGTAGGTGCAATTTTCACTGAGTCCAAGGACAGGGAAGCCAATTAGGAGACTGTTACTCTGATGACAAATACTGCCATTCTAAACTGAGGCATAATATTGGGAGTAGGCAAACCTATTTGAAAAAATATTAAGACGTAAATTTTTTATAACTTGTTTACTGAGTGATGGGGGAGGGAGGAATCACGGATCACATCTTGGCCTCAGGCTTCACTTGATGTTATATTAGCCATCATTGGGTTTAAAACTTTTTTTCCCCAAATGGCTTCATGTACATTTATGTCTATTCATTTGTATGTATCTGTGTATTGTACATTTTTATGCGTGTTCATGTTCTTAGAACTAAGTAGGTAGGTCAGGTGTTCGTTTTTTTTGGTCAGGTGTTCCTTGTAGTTGGATTTAGGGGCCTTGGTCTGCAGCAGTCAGAGAAAAATAGTCATGTTTATAAGGCACACTGGGGTGACGAATGAGGCTTCCCATGGCTAAAGGTGACTAGTTTGTGTGGTTACTCCAGAGACAGAAGGCACAACTGTAACCTGTTGTTGGTGTAGATTATGGGTAGAAAGCTCTGGTCTTTGGTTCAGAGTTAGGTGTGGCTAGTGGTAGAATCTAGTCCTGTATAACAGTTTTGAAGTTTGAATCAAAATATGAGGGAACATAAAAACTTTTGTTAGATGGAAGAGTGATCTCCCTCGGAGAGTGATTCTACTTAGTATATTGTTAATGGGGAACCAGGGTCTCCCTTCAACTTCCTCCTGCTTAGCTGGGCCTCAGTTTGCCAGCAGCAGAGTTGAATCTTAAGGGAAGACAAATGATGGAGCAAGGAGCCAGCGCGTAAATCTAATAAAGTGTGAGTGTGACTGTATGTCTCTTATTTTGGAATCATTTGGTGATGTGTGATTTGTACAACTCCTTTTCTCTGATTACCTTGGATGATGTCATTCGTTGTAATTCTTCTATTTCAGGGCTGGTTATCATCATGGAATTGAAGGAGTGACTTCTTGAAACTTCATGTTTTCATTTCCCTTACAGGATAGTCACTCGTGTGTTAATTTATCTAATGTTTATAGAATAGTTGCTTTATGACAAGTATTGTCCTAGGCACTGAAGTCAGAGAGATGAGTAATTATCCTTGGCCTCAAAGAATTCACAATAGTAAGGGAGATACACATTCCAGTACAGTTTGAGTAGAGCTGCTATAACAAAGGTACAGATGTAGCACAAAGGAAAAAAAGAGTGATTATCCTTGGGTTCAGGGGAAGCTTTCTGGAGACAGTTTTAAAATATGGATGATGGTGTGGCAGATTGGATGGTGAAGACAGTTCTAGGCAAAGGTTATAGCATATAGCAAAGCAAGGGGGCATGAAAGTGCATATTGTATTTAGGTAATTAAACAATTCAGTATTGGTAGAGGTGGGAGTGAAGTAAAAAGAGGAGGGTCCTGGCAGGTCATCAGTCCGTTAATTCATTCATTTACTCATTCACTCATTCATGTGTGACTATTTCAGTGCTTACTATGCAACATATAGCGGTGAACAAAAACTCTGCCCTTAGCGACTTACATTCTAGTTGGGGCAGGGATAGCAAACAAGTAATATAGTATGTCAGATGGTGATAACTGTAATAAAGAAAAATGAAGTAGCCAGGAAGGTTAGGTAATGGCAAACCCTTGAGGCAATTAAGCTGGGAAAAGACTTGATCAGATTGGGTTTTGGTTTGCATCCAGCTACAGTGTTAAGAATGGGCTGGAGAAGGATGAGGATGCACATAGGGAGACCAGTTAGGGAGCTGTTGTAGCAGAACAGGTGAGAAATAATGAAGGATTATATCAAGATGATGGCAGTGAGAATAGAGAAGAAAAGATGGATTTGAGTTTTGGGAAGTAGTGCATTAGGTAGTACATAAAATTACGTGACTATATGCCATGGGACATGTGACATTTATATGCCTTGGTTTCGGATTTTTTTCAGTTTAAAAAAAGCTATTGTAATGTTAGAAAAAGAGAAGAAAAAAATCCCTTGTGGCATCCGTCCCTCCGCACTGTTAACGGCTTTCCCAGTTGTGGTTTGGGTTAGTCAGAACTGTTCTGTGGCAGTTTTTACAGAGGTTATAAACTCTACTGGTCAGATCAAAGGAAGATCTGATTAAGACTGCTACTGATTGCTTAATTTACTTATACTGCCATTTATACACACCATTCTTTACAAAATCATGTATTATTTAACATCTCCCAGAAGCCTTGGTAGATGTTTTCCAGAAGGAAAAAGCTGAGTTAACCTCGTGTAAATGTTTCCTAGGAGGGCATCTTTGTCATGCCAAGTTTCAACCATTTGTGATTAAAGAGATCATGATCAAATACAGTGTCATATAGTTAAGACATTAGTTTATATTGTACTTACTGAATAACTTAAAAAATATATGATCCTATCAAACTGAAATTCATAATTTTAGAAAATGTAATGCATGGTTTTAAAAAATAGATCAACCTATTTCCTTATGTGAGTGAATTTTGCTGTTTTGTTTGTGCAAGAAAACAATGTTGAGAATAAAACAGAAGCATACGTCTCTTAGATTGCAAGTATCATTTTGGGATGGACCACATTTTCTGCAAGTAAACTTCTTTATGTCAGGAATTTACTTACTCTAAAGCCACCTACTCCCAGTCACTTAATAAAAAATATCTAGGAATAAATTAAGTGATCTATTTTTAGGCTGCAGAGGAATGGAGTGCTGTTGTAGTCAGATGATATACTTTATGGAACACTTTAAAAGCAAATGCTAAGCAAGTATTACTCCTTTCAGTTTTATTTTCTTATTTATTGAGAAGAGAGTTTCTGTTGCTCAGCAGATTAGTATGTTAATTTCAACTCCAAACCAAATCAAAGTATCCTGAGTAGAGTTTACTTTTTTGACATGAAGTAGTAATCGCCCTCCCCCCATTAGTATTCTCTTTATTTGTTAGGCTTTAGGAGTAATATTTAATTTTATTACTGTCCCACATCTGAGTTCAGAATCAATTGAGAATACATAGAGTATAGACAGGTGGAGATAAAAATGTCAGCTTTATTACAAATAAAGCTGGTTGGAGAATATGGCTTAGATTTGGACTGCCTGAATTGGATAGACAGTCACAGGTAATGCTGAACCACAGAAGGCCTCCCCTGCAGGGGCAGAGCCAGCTCCAGTAAGCCTTGTACATGGCCCTGAGAGAGACTGGAGTATAACCACTTTGTAGCTGATAGATTCTAAGGAGAGAAAAGGCTGACTCCAGAAGCCTGGTGCCTCTTCTCAGAAATTACTAACCAGGTAAAT